GTGTGAGTGTGTGTGAGTGTGAGTGTGTGTGGGTGTGTGAGTGTGTGTGTGTATGTGTGTGAGTGTGTGTGTGTGTGAGTGGGTGTGTGTGGGTGTGTGTGTGTGTGTGTGTTCACTGCTGTGTGTGTGCACTTGGATGGGTTAAATGCAGAGCACTAATCCCGAGTATGGGTCACCATACTTGGCCACACTTCACTTCATTATAATATAATATAATATTTACCACAATTCTACATAGGTACAAGCTATTTGTAGATTTACCTCTGGTTACCATTGTGTTACTATAAAAAAAATTCAATAATTATTAAAATGAGTTTTACAATAATAAGTGTACCTTTTCACTCATATGGCTTATGCACATATGTCTTGTTTGTCTGCTTTATTTTCAGGCATTCCCATCAAAACCACTCTAGACAACTCAACGACGGTGCAGTACGCAGGACTGCTGCATCAGCTGACTATGAAAGCCCGGAGTACAGTCAGAGACATCGACCCCCAGAACGACCTGACATTTCTGCGCATCAGGTCCAAGAAACACGAGATCATGGTGTCGACAGGTGGGTCCTGTCTCGCTTATCAGGCTGTTGAACGCTTATATAGCTCTCACCCTTTCCCCGTTTTCCTCCAGATAAAGAATACCTGTTGATCGTCATCCAGAACCCAGCTGAATAGTGTCACGATGCTGTGTTTCACACAGACACATGAACCAAATGCTATTCTTTAAAGCATGTACATTTATTGTACATGAAATGCATCAAAAGGTTTGATTGTTCAGTGTGATTGATTGCATGTAAAGTCATCAATAAATAAGTGAATTGTTTCTTTATTGTGGAGTATGGGTCTTTAAGGCCTTTAGTTTTTAAGGTCATTTTTAGGAAGTGCAATTCATATCATCTCCACAAGATGGCAGGAGATCAAGCAGATGCTTTGCATTGCTGCTCATTTGCTTCTGTGAAAAATTGCTGGTTTAATGGGTTGTGACAACGGTGGTCTGGTTTATTGTGCTCTTACTGTAGTATTAAGATAATTGGGTTTGTATGAATGTCTATCAACCACACTAAAAACATAAAGCACATTTAGTAGAAATATATGCTGGATAAATATGGTTATTAAATGTGGTCGGTGTGGTGGATTTGCAGGTTTGGCTGGTTCATATGTCACTCAGGAGCTTTGTTTGAGCTTCAGCTGATTTGCGTGTTGTGTGTTTGCGTGTATGTGCCTGAGGGTCAGTGTTGTCTTTTGAAAAGAACAATGCAGCCAGAACATTTGTGCTCTATTTACTCGAACACAATCATTTCTTTTCCTTTTCTGCCTTAAGCTTTTTCTTCTGGTTGCAGTTCTACTGGTTTTTACCCAAATAAATCTATTAAGGCACTTTCCATGAACAGTGCAGCCTGTAAATTGGCATCCAATAAAGCAATAAAGGCACAACTCCATGTTCTGTTAAGTGATTATCTAATAAAATAAAGATGAGGCATGAAAAACAGCAAGTTAATAGTGGTCTTGTGTCTTGTCCTTTTCTACTGCATCCAAAAATAAAAATCCTAAAATATGGTAGAAAATAATAATAATAATTGTTGTTGATGTTGTTGCTGTTTTTACTTTAAATAATAATATATAAATACTTTATTGTTGTTTTTGTTATAAATAATGAATCTACTACTACTAATTATTATTATAAATAATAATTATACATTTTTCTGCTACTTAATATTATATTATGATGATGATGATAATTATTATTATAAATTATTTCCTACTATTATTACTACTACTACTACTACTAACAACAACAATAATTATAATAAAAATTATTATTATTACCAATTAGTATTATTATTAATTAGTTATTGTTATTACTACTACTACTGGGAATAATAACAATAATAATAATATCATTAATAACTATTATTCTTACGTTCTTTTACTTTTTTAGCTTTTTAAATAATAACACCTATTTATTAATTACTATTACTAATCTAATTATTATAATATTATAATAATATTATTATAATTATTTTATTTTTTATTATTTACTAATCTTATTTTAATGGCAAAATATATTTAGTTGGATCTCACATTTGAATGCAACCTTGTTAATATAATTTGGTTTCTGTTTTTACAAACATTGCATTCAAAAGAGCAACATATCTGTCCTCTTTGCAAAGTTTCTATAGTTTTAGTTGTAGAATTTATGCGTTACACAAGTTATGTGTTAAAGACTCAAATTTGGATTAAAAAAAAAATAATAATAATCAGCACATATAATATTTAGTTTGACTCCATGAGATTGACAAAAAAAAAAGAATAAATAAAAAAATCAATCAATCAATCTGAGGGTTGAGCGCTTCCTGATATTGTGTTTTATGACCTCTGGCCATTGTAAAAGTTTCAGGCCCTATTTTGCATCCTATTCGTAAAAAAGTGCAGTGTTCAGCTTTGAAATATGTATGTGTATCTAGTTCTTGTACCTCAAGCTGCACACCTGAAGCATGAGAGCGGTGCTGCTTGAGTTTCCCACTGCTGGACTGACCTCTGCTCGGCTCCCATCTGCTGTCTGTTTTACATGCCCAGCGCTGCCAATTGGCACTCACAGCACGGGGCAGAGAGCCAGCAGGTGGACCCGGATCTCATGTTCAGAGACCAGCTCCTGTGCACAGCCCCGTCAAACAGTGTGTCCGTGCAAGCTAATTAAGCAGAGGATTAATGATGGGCCTAATAACAGCATATTACACAGAAATGGTGCGTTTGCACTTATGTGTTGTATATCATCACTTAAAAGTGCATGTGGTTGTAGTGAAGAGCTGTTTCTATATGTCTGCCGTGTATCTGGTGTTGGTCAGAACAACAGTGTGCTTTAGTTTCAGTGAGAGAGGAGGAGAGCTTTGAGGAGACTGGGGTTTGGACTTCACTGGATGACAATAAAGTCTGGCTTGTATTCACATTTGGTGAGACTGGCTGTTCAAAAGTATAACATGCTCTGAAAAGGCATTTGGATTTCAATATGTTTTCAGCCTCCAAAGCTCAGAGTCCTGTATCTTTATCTGTTC